TTGATAAAACAATAAAAGTTTTTTATATATATAAACTTTATATATTTCTAAGCATATATATATATATATATATATATATATATATATATATATATATATATATATATATATATATATATATATATTCAATGATTCAATCTTCGATCTCCGGGAAGAGTATACTCCAGTTATTTATTGTTAAAACAACATTTAAAACAATAAAAACAGTTATATACAAGATTAAAACAACTTAGCTTTCGCTGGTCCTCTGCCAGCGTCCTCAGAGTGGGGCTTAGGGGGTGGGAAGTTCTTTTTATCCCCTTGCTGATCCAATTGTTTTAATCTTGTATATAACTGTTTTTATTGTTTTAAATGTTGTTTTAACAATAAATAACTGGAGTATACTCTTTCCGGAGATCGAAGATTGCATCATTGAACAAATATGCTCAGGATTTGTATTTTTATAACCATTAAGGATATATATATATATATATATATATATATATATATATATATATATATATATATATATATATATATATGAATAAAATAAATAATACACGATCACCGGGAGAATTTTAAGTAAAAATACTTTACTAAAAAATACTTTACTAAAAAGGTTGCCAAGCTTTCATTGGGGGAACTCCCCAACATCATCAGGGCTAAACGGCCGTTCTAACAATGAAAATGAAAGCTTGGCAACCTTTTTAGTAAAGTATTTTTTAGTAAAGTATTTTTACTTAAAATTCTCCCGGTGATCGCGTATTATTTATTTTATTCATAACTATGCCCGGGAGTCGCATTTTTACTAACATTATTGAATATATATGTCAAACTGTTTCTATTTTACATATATATATATATATATATATATATATATATATATATATATATATATATATATATATATGTTTTCTGAGGTTTTCGCGGTATTTGTATGTAGGTCTTTGGTTGTTCGGGTTTTCTCCCACGTAAAATTGGAAGTGTCTTGGCGACGTTTCGACGAAGTCCCATTCGTCATCTTCAGGCTGGTGCTTTCAGCTTCGTGCCTCGAGCTGCAGTGTGTGGTCTTGGCTGTTTCTTCCTTTTAACTGCCAGTGGAGGTATGAACTGATTGGGTGGGAGCTTGGCTGTGTTCTGATTGGGTGGAGGTGTGTTTTGATTGGTTAGGGGCTTGGCTGTGCTCTGATTGGCTGGGGGGTTGGCTGTGCTCTGATTGGCTGTGCTCTGATTGGCTGGGGGAGTGTTCTGTTTGGTTGTGCTCAGGTTAGTCTGAGTTGCAGAGGGATTCAAGATTTTGGGCTGCCCTGCCATTCCTTGGCTTCGCGTTCGTGGTCGTGCTTCCTCTTCATGGAGGGTGTCAGTTTGCTTCATGTATGGATTGGGGGGGTTTAAAGTGGCTGATGATGCAGCTGTGGTCTGGCTTCTGGTTTGTGGTCGTGCCTCATAGTCAGTGTGGCTTTGGGTTTGTTTTTTGCGTGGATGTTTGGTGGTGACATCCTGTGTGGTTTTTGTGAGTGTGGGTCTGGTATCATTTTTTGTGTTAGGGAGTCGTTTGTCAATGAGGGCGGGTTTCCAAATGGCTGGTAGGCGGGAGGTATCATCTCGCTTGTTCATGCTGTGTGGGCGTTTTTCTATCTCGATGGCTTCTCTGATTATTCTGTTATTAAAATGTTCACTTTTGGCAATGGTTCTGGTATTTTTAAAGTCAATTTCATGTCCTGTGGCTTTAAGGTGTTGGACCAGGGAAGATGTTGGTTCCTCTTTTTTGACTGAGTTCTTATGTTCTTCAATGCGTGCACTTATTCTTCTGTTGGTTTGTCCGATGTATGTGGTGGGACAAGTGGTGCATGGGATTTCGTATACTCCTTGATTTTCTAATTCAATTTTATCTTTGGGGTTTCTAAGGATGGTGGATATTTTTCTGTTTGTGCAGAATGCTGTTTTGATGTTGTGTTTATGGAGGATCTTACTGATTCTGTCTGTGATGCCTTTTATGTATGGGAGGATGGCTTTGCCGTTTTCTTGTTCTTTGTCTTGGATATATATATATGTAGGTCTTTGGTTGTTCGGGTTTTCTCCCGCGTAAAATTGGAAGTGTCTTGGTGACGTTTTGACGAAGTCCCATTCGTCATCTTCAGGCTGGTGTTTTCAGCTTCATGCTTCGAGCAGCAAAAAGTAAAATAGAAACAGTTTGACAAAGAGTTAAAGATTGACTTACCCATCAGTCAGCTAAAAACGAAATATTCATGGCAAAGAACTGGGAGAAGAAAATAAACTGAAAGTGAAAGGAATCCTCAAGAAAGTGTCCCCAACTATACAATACATTCAATGAATGGGAAGTTTTCTCTGTGTACCTACTGTACTTCCAATAAGAGCAGTCATGTTATTGTAAGATAATCATTCCTAACATTCCTTCTGAATCTGTCTTTCTGCATCTTCATGAGATTATTCAGCATCCTACACTCTTATGACAGTGGTGACGAACCTTTTAGAGACCAAGTGCCCAAACTGCAACCCGAAACCCACTTATGCATCGCCGGGTGCCGGGGGGCGTGGCCACTGAGTGGGCATGGCCACTGAGTGGGTGTGGCTATGGTAGTCGTGGCAGCATGGGTGGGCATGGTCAGGGTGGGCGTGGTGGATGTTGTGGAGAGCTGCACATGTGTGGAGAGGAGGAGGGAGCAGCTCGGCCCAGCAAAGGCTTGCATGCCACAAGAGACGTCTCCGCGTGCCACCTGTGACACACATGCCATAGGTTCGCCACCACGGCTCTATGATGTAAAAAAAAAGGTTGTGACATTGAACAGGGTTCCCTTCTTAGAGCTAAATACATTCATTCTTTCAGTCTATTCTTTAATCTGGAGACTATGTTAATACTTGCTGCCTTTCCCTGAATCTGTTCTGATGTTTCTGAATATTCTAAAAGTATAATCTATAGAACTGAGATAACTATTCAATATGTGCCTCATCCAATGCAGAATATAGTAGAAACATTGTTTTCCAAGCTTTTAAAATTGTATTTTTATTTATGCAATCTAGAGTTATTTGTCTTTTTAGTAACCACATTAAAATGCTGATCAGGGCCAGCTATGGAAAAGTCAAAAAAAAAAAAAAAAAAATCAAGATGGCAGTCACAGTTGTGTGATTGAAGTCCTACATCTAATGTATATGTGAACATCAATTCATGTATAAACTACCATCTTGATTGTTTTTTACACACACACAGCCTGCCACATACACACAACTGACATGAGTGCTGCTGATTCATCACTCCCCAAAAACTGCTACCTTTTTTAAAAAAAATATTGGCAAATAAATTGCAGCAATAAACTACAACTCCATTATACCTTTTATACATCATTATACAACTCCATTATACTTTTTATACATTATTCCGAGATTTATCTCACTGTTCTTATTAAATCACATTTCATTTTGTTAGTTTAATCTTCTTTTTCTATCTTATCATTTTGAATTTTCTGAAGTACTTTTGTCATTCTGATCCCAAATTGTTGAACAGATTTATTATGCATTTGTATGCTCCTCTACTGCCACATGACCTAGATCTCTCATAATAACATATAGTTCTGCATCTCTGAGGGAAACTATAGTAGAAACCCAGATAATATTGTAGTTAAGATGGACTAGGAATTATGGCATTCAAGTTCAATGTACTCAACTGTGACTTTGGGTCAGTCTCTTTCATGTTCACCAATGGAAAAAATGAAAAAAGTTATATTAGATATATTGTCCTGAGCTGCTAGAGAAAAGGAGGAGAATGTAATTGTAATAGATAAATGAATAGAGATAAGTCAATAAATTCCCACATCCAAGTAGATCCCTCAACACATAAATAACTTGTCCTCTCTTGACAACTTAATGAATCAACCCATAGAGACAAAGGACCTAGAAGATGACAAAACGTATGATGAGATTTCTAATTCAATAGCTTGATCCAGAGAAAGTCCACAATCTCCAAGAATCTCAATCATTAGGGATGTTATAAAACTCATTTGAAGAAATATCTTTTCCAAGAAAATGTATCTCATAATGAAGGCTGGTAGGTTGAAAGATCTCATCTTCTCAACAAAACTCAACTGCAGGCCATCAGATTGATGTCCTTGCAGAGTGTCAACACATGAGAAAGATGTTACAAAAAGTTTTTAAAAGAAGGTAAAAACTATCAAACACTAATACAGAATAAAGAAACAATGAAAGAAAAGGATAAAAAAATCTTATCTAATCTAATTTCCATTCTTTTTTTAAAGATTTAGGTTGCTTCAGTGTCACTGTCTGGCTCTATTTGTATAGCACACTAAACTCATTACTAAACACCAGAGTCCAAATGGTGCAGGAGAGAATTAGTTCTAACTCCAAAGTTCTGAAGTTATTTTAATTATCTTATCCTTATTCTCCAAAAGATGAGCAGTAAACCCAACAATGAGAAGTAGTTTCTGAAGCTTGCCAGTTTATCCTCCAAGAAAAAGAGTTGACAATATGGAATGGCTGAAGAAGCTGGCGCCTCTGTTCTATAACTTACTGCCAAGAAGTAATTGTGTAGTTGCAGAATTTGGGGTGGAAAACTCTCCCATCTGGGTCAAATAAATCCATCTCACTTGGATTTTTTCATAGCCCACAATCTACTCATCCCACACACATGGGTTCACAATCTACATGACTTGCTAATTAATGTAGACATATTCAAATGTATATATAAATATATGTACATATCTAGAGTACCTCACTTACTTAAAACTGGGAAGCTTATCTAAAAGAAGTGCCTAAATTTAGGCTGCCAACTCACAGTAAGATTCTTGATATGTTGCCACAAGAGTCTGAGACAAGGATTAAAATGAGCCACTACTGAACTGTTACTTTATTGGGTGCTATGCGAAATGACAATTTTGAAGGACCAATTTAGATTAACATATACACATGTACTTTTTATTGCTGGAAATGAATAACAAAATAAATTATGTAACTGTATTTGCTCCTAATTTATCTATTCCTATTATCAGCTCTACATAGTGACCAATCCTGTAAGATGAGTGAAGAAAGAAAATGAAACCAGCTGGTGAAAGGGCTGATGGGTAAGTGAAACAAAACATTAAGAAGACTAATGATATTTTGTGATGTATTTGTCACTTGATTCTCAGATGAAAGATTTATAAATCTTCTTTCTCACCATTTTTGAATCTTCTAGAAGACATTGCTTCCAGCACTGATGTCTCTGCTAAGGCATACACTACAAAGATTATGTAGTTGATAGCTGTCTTCCTGATTGGTTTTCTATCTTAATCCATGAGGTGATCATGTGTTGATCTGCAGGATATATTTGTCTAGGAACCAATTATCCTTTAAATGCAGAATCTAGGTATTCCTAATTCCATGAGTTTCTTAAAAGTTTTGTCACAGTCATCACAATCGTTAAAATAATCTAATTACAACCACTCTTATTTGTTCTGCAGTTAACATTTTAATCTTAGCATTTTCTATCTAGCCTGCTTTTTTAATCACACAATTTCCCTTTAATATCTAGCACAAGTTCAACCCTCTAAGTCAAGAATAATAATTGCAAAGCAAAACAATAATAATTATCTGAAGAAAAACTCAATAAAATAATGTAATCAAAAGGTTACATTACAGCACTTATGTATAAATCTCCATCACCTTATATAAGATTATGCAAACATTTTCAGTTCTCACAAAATTCTCCTGGGAAGATATTTCACTTTCTTTTCCCCTTAATTGAGCTTTACCATCCAGATAGGATAATTATGAGAGTAATTGAGCAAAAATGATAACTCATAGCCTTTTAATACTCTTGAGAGAAAACCCCCTGCTCTGATGATTCAAATTATTCTTATATGCATAGTTGTAACATAGTTGTCTTCAAAGCCCTATTAGAAAGATAATGCCCTCAGGTTGCCCATTCATATTTCCATCTGCATTATAGACTATGGGGTTTTTGAAGGAGAATGAGAATATAGAGTGAAACCCAATAACACTGTAGGATAGAAGACATGACTCATTGAGAATTTACTATTACTTTCTTTGAAATCGTTCTGTACTTAAAGTGAGGTACATCATCTGAAAAATATAAAGAGGGCCTTTGATCTTTTATTATTTATCTGTTTATGTAATGCACTTGTACTCTGCTCTTCAGCAGGAAAACCATGCAGAATTGCTTCCAGATCAATAAAAACAAGATGATCCTTGCCCCCAGGCTTACACACACAGAAGGGGGAGGAAATATTTCCTAGAATTTATTTGACGAACATATTAAACGCCTCCTGCAATGAAGGAAAAAAAAACACCTTGTTCTTCCAGCTGTAATTGTGAATGAAAAAAGATTATTTTCTTTATCTCAATTGGAAAAAAAAATTAGAATCTGCAAAACCCAATGCATGGATTTTACCTTCTTTTTTTTTTGCCAAAAATACTAGTCAGGTAACTTCGCAAATATTTATTGTTATTGTTACTACAATAATATCTTCTCAGTGGGAAAATCCATAATGAAAGATTTATTAATGGAAACACCCATCCACCCCACCACCCACCCACCCACCCACGCACAAACACACAAGTACACATATTCCTTTAATGTAAACATGTTTTGGGACTAATTGGTAGGAAGTAAATGATATGGAATACACAATTGTAATTGCTAAGCCAAAGGAAAGGTCCATTGCAGAAACATATACTGCAATGTTTATTATTGAGAACACCCTCTGGAGGTAGAAGTTAAGGAAACCACCATGTCACAAATCTATTTCTGACAAGTTAAATTATGTCTAACTCAAATCTTCATGAATGCAGAGAATGAGATAACTCATCATGGCCAACTCACTACAGCCAACTAGCCATGGGACAACATGCCATGGCTAACTCACCATGGGACAACTTGCTGCAGGTCAACTGAACAAATACAAAAGTTAAATTAATTTCAACAGAATTGTGGCCAATAATAATAAAAGAAAGAAAGTCAATCCAGAAATACAAAAGTTACAATAATTTTGACAAAAACGTAGTCATTGATCATAAAAGTATCTGAATGAAACAATTAATACAACATTGAATTATCCTGCAGCAAGTTGTCCATGGTGAGTTGTCCCATAGTGAGTTGTCACCCTTGGAGCATAGTTAGATATTGTTTTTTAAAAAGACTGTAATGAGTTGAAAATAAAGGATATTACGTTAGGCTATTACATCTATATTTAACTTTAAAAAAAAACTTCTACCATGAAATGTGCTACTTCCAAAACCAAGCTCTGAAATGGCCATCTCACTCTAGCTACTGAGCTATCAGTGTTTTTGATTAACTACAACCATTATCTATAGTTTTATTGCTGGTTAGATATTTCATGTCCTTTTTCTTTTTCTTCCATTCAGTCATGTCTGATTCTCAGACACTGCCTGGGCAGGTCACTGCAGTTTTCTTGGCAAGGTTTTTCAGGAATGGTTTTCCATTGCCTCCTTCCTAGGGAGGCACAAAGTCACCCAGTTGGCCTTATACTTCAGGCAGAAAATAATAATGCATAAATTAGTGAACATAATATGCCTATAGGTGAAAAATGTATATTATAAAAAGATATCCAAAAAGCCAGTAAGGTAGAGAAAGATTAGAGACATTTATTTCTAGGAAAGCAAGTACAAGTTTTAAAGAGAATCTCAGACTGATATTGAAATAGGATGAATGGGATGGAAATAAGATGAAGATCATACCTAAAAAATGGGGGAAAGGTGACTAAAATGATAAATTCACATATCATAATTCTTCATTCACACACATATGTTAAAGACACTGTCTCAGAGTGGTGGAGGGAAATAATAGAAAAATGGACTATATTGCATGAACTAATCCTGAAAACCTAGGTCCCACCCACTGTATTCCATTGGCCTTACTTTCATGAACATTTGCCCAGCAGAGGTAGAAGGTTTGCACCTCTCTGTATGTTGCTGAACTATAGTTCATGGAAATTCCAGCTAGCACGGCTAAGAATATGCGGGAAGCTATAACTCAGTGGTGGCGAACCTATGGCACGTGTGCCAGAGGTGGCACTCAGAGCTCTCTCTGTGGGCACATGCAACATGCCCTGGAGGTGGCAACTGTCCCTCTTCAACCAGCTGTCTGCTAACTAGCCAAGGTCCCACGTGGCCAGATGCATCCTGGCACGGCTGGTTTCCCTCCCCCCCCCATCCCGTCCCTCCTGGCCTTGCATGCTCTCCTTTTCATGGACACGATCCACTGCATCACCTCCTCAGCTGTTGGCCATCCATCCATCTCAGAGGTGGCTTCTTTGAACTGCTGGCAGTGGGCTGCAGAGCTCCAGAGTGCGCCGGTCAAGGGGCCGGCAGGTTGTGGCAGCTGACGGACACTGTTGGCCCCCATGTGCTCGCTGGCCTCTGTGTACAGGGGCCGATGGTGTCAGGCAGCAGCTGCCCCTTGCCTTGCCCCATGGCAATGGCACCCCTGCCCTGCCATGCCTCCCACCCCAGGATGAGCCTTCCGCTTACCACCCCACCTATCAGAGACCCCCTGGATCTCCCCCAACCCTGCCCACCTCCCACAGGCATCCCTCCACACAAGCAACATTGAGGTGACTATGCACCTTGGCCACACCCACCCAATCTGCCATAACCACAACAGCCACACCCACCCAGTGGGCCACACCCACCTGATACCAGGTGATAAATAAGTGGGTTTTGGGTTGCAGTTTGGGCACTCAGTCTCTAAAAGGTTCTCCGTCACTGCTCTAACTGATTTGGTTGGCCACCTTATATATAAGATGGCAGTCCAAAACAATTGAAGTCATTTAAATAATAAAATGAATTGTCCAAAATGTGTAGAGGGCTTACAAATACTAATTGCTGGATATGAAATCTTGCAAAAAATGGTAATGCTATCTCAGATTAGATTAGATTAGATTGGATTGGATTAGATTAGATTAGATTAGATTAGATTAGAAAATAGGTAGATAAGTACATAGATAGGTAGTTAGGCAGGCAGGCAGACAGACAGACAGACAGACAGACAGACAGGCAGGCAGGAAGGCAGGCAGGCAGACGGACAGACAGACAGACAGACAGACAGACAGATAGTGATATATCAATATCAATAATAATTTAGCAGAGCTAGTCTCTTATGACTTTTAATCATTCAGTAGAACTGATCCTTCCAGAACTGTTTCTTTGTCTGGAAACTTTGAGATGCTTTTTTCTTGTAATTTTAACATTCTTAAGAGCATGTTTCAGCAGAGATCTCTTTAGTTTATTTACACTGAATGGTCAATTAATATCCATCACTTAGACAAGCCTGTGAGCTGGACCCCATGTCTCTGAATCCCACTTCTCTGGAAGTACCGAACAAAACAATAATTTATCATCCGCACATGTCTTGAATCTCCAACCTCCATTGTTAGAAGCTTTGCTCTCATGTGCTACTCACGATACATGTTATTATTTATTAATTGTTCTTTATATTTTCCTTTTTTAAATACTGCTGAGCTAGACTTATGTAAAAATGAACTCTCCAACTCAAAATGGCTCATATCTACCACCATCAGACATTTTTATCTGACTGTGTCAATCTTTACTGCTGATATAAGGATTTTAAGGTGGTATAAAAGAAATTAATATTAGTTACTAACCCTTGCCATTAAAAATATAGAAGCAAGCCCAATGGAGTTTGCAAACTATAAATGAAGTAGCAATACTACATTTCTATTAGTATTGCTATCAGATGAACCCCAGGAACTGTGGTTACGGTATCCATACAACTGAAGGAGCCATATAACTTTACTGATATGTAGCAAATGTAATAAACATAGTGTGGGAAGGAAGAACCCCCATATCACCCTTGTCTCTCACACCACTTGCCAAACTGGACCAGTCACTGAACCCCAAGCAATAAGACAAAAGACTGTGTAAACTTTTCTGTACATATTGGTACATTGGAATAAAACTGACCAAGCGCATCTCCCTTTATGAAATTGGCAAATATCCAAAACTCTGTGAGAGATCCCCCTTAAAATACGGAAATCCCTTGCACACACTCTAAATACCCATCATCCAAGGTAAGAACCTGAGT